ACGGGACAATGTTGTGTGACAGTGGTTTTACTTGTGGGGAGTACATTATTTTACAGCAATAGTACTTCTACTTTTTTTCCCAGGATTGTCAATTTGTTTTGCTCATATCAAAGTACTTAAACGCGTATATGAAAGATCAACAGTAAACTCTGGCAAAAACATTATCAAATCTTTAACCCCAACTCACCAAAAAACATGTGGTGCATCAAAACATTGGTTGGCTGACACAGCACACCATACTATTTGTTTAGAGGTACACACACTAATTCTTCTCTCTTTATCTAAATGTATATTTCTTCTACGTCCTCCATTATGATGATAGACAACAGCTCACCGTTGGACTCCCTTGCCTTTGTTGCTGCGTTAAGCGTCATATCTTTTACTCTGCCCAGCTAACAGGAAACGACGCACACTCTTATTGGGACATTAGCGAGCGAGTGGGAAATGACACTGAAAGGAATATCTGATGAAGAAAGGAATATCTGATGAAGACAGGCCCTTATAAGTCAATAACACAGTCTGTTACTGTATGAAACGTGGTGTACTGACTTCATGGCAGCTCTAAAGCGGAGTCACACGCTTCGACACGTGCAACTGTACTGCGAGCTATTTAAACAAAGAGTGTGGTGAAGTGCCCGGAATACACACACACACACACAAACAAACACACACACACAAACAGGACAAAAACAAAGACAACACCACAGAAAAGACATTGTAACAAAGTAGCTACACAAACAATAGTAAGGTCTTTGTCAGTCTTAAGTTAATTCACCGTAAGTAATGTGGATATTGTGCCACAACGTTGATAACTGTACTCTGTATTGTTGTTCTCGTGATATGAAAATAATATCAATACAGTAACATTAAAGCTGTTAACTGTTGGGTGGACTATGGACTTGGGTGGAGTATGGACTTACTCCCTACACTTGTAAAGTAATGATATATCTGCAGTGGTGTATAGTAACAAAGTACATTTATTACATTTATTTATTATACATTTATTACCTAAGTATAATTTTGAGATACCTTCACACAGTTGAGTATTTACAATTGTTGCTACTTTCCACTTCTACACCACTACAATTCAGAGGTTAAAGTGTACTTTAACTCCATTCAATTAATGTAATACCTTTAGTTACATTGCATTGACGATATAAAATATAATCAACACTTAAATAAGACTTTAGTTACACCTGTAGTACATCAACAAGAAAGCCTGCACTATGCATATTTCATCAAATTAACTGCGATAAACAAATAATGCATTTATATTTAAAATCCCAAATGTATACATTATTCCGAAATGGGCCAGCCTGAACGATTTGTACTTTGGAGTATATTATTATACTGTTATACTTTTACTTGAGTAACATTTGCATTGCAGCACTTTTAGTTGTAACAGAGTAGTTCTACACTGTGGTAATTCTACTTTTACTTAAGTACAATAACTGAGTACTTCTTCCACCTCTGAATATCTGATAAAAACCTAAAGCGTACTATATAAGTGTCAGAAATTAAATCTATCCTAACGTTAACAGTTAGCTTATTAACGTGTGTCACGGCTAGCTTAATTATCAACACACTTAAGCTAGTTAGTTGACAAATACAACATTGACAACTAGTAATTCTCCTTGACACATATCAATAAATGTCGCACTAGGGTTTGTACTATTATTTCCTGATTGTTTTCATACAACCAACAAACACTAACAAAAGGAAAAGGAAAGACAAGAGATCTCGTAGTGGCCTATGCGTGCTTAGCTTGCGTAAAAACAGACAAAACGGACTCACCAACGGAAAGGTTACCAGCGACGAGCCCTCCTCTCACTGCTTCACTTTCGAGGCATTAAAAGGTCGTAACAAATGGAGACACCAAAAACCAGAATGTGGTGAGACAATACAAAAGAAATGATGGTTGTTTTCGTCGTGTAGCTCCGTCAGTGGTGTTCCGTTGTTCCTTGTCCTCGGCTCTTTTTAGGTGAGCGGAAACACTCGCTCTACCAGCTGCCTCCTCGCTCTTGCGCGGTCTCCATGGCTACCTCGTTAAAAAGGGCGGATCCTATTCTGACACAGGGCTCGACTTCAGAATAAAAGCACCGCATTTTGCTGGAGAGACAAAAGAAAATGCACACAAAGAGAGCAAAATACATCAACATTTTCAAGATTCAAGATTCAAGGCTTTTATTGTCATTCGTACATAGCTACAGTGTAGTTATGTCGATGAAAATCTTAGGTCCCAGGATCCTCCAACAGTGCAACACAATAAAACAGATAAAATAGTGCAAGTAAATACAATAAAATAGAATAGAAGTAGTGCCATAAGAGTATACAAGTGATACATAATTTGTAAGTTGCAAACAGGTGAATGTAGACCAATAACAACTGCAAATGCTTTATTTAGATTCTCAATTAGAGAGGAATACAAATTAGACACTAATAGAATCGGGATGAAACCCTCTTTAATGGTCACAGCAGAGCACACAGCACACACAGTGACATTTAACCCATCCTAGTGCAGGAGTCTAGTACTAGGAGCAGTGGGCAGCTATTGGAGTGGGGGGGAAGGGGGATGTCCAGTGCCTTGCTCAAGGGCAGCACAGCAGGGTAGGTGGTGAAGTGGGACCTCTCCAAGTAGCAGTCCACACTCCATATTTAGGTGTGGTCGGGGACTTGAACCGGCGACCCTATGGCTCACAGTCCAAGCCCCCTACTGACTGAGCCACTGCCAGACTTAAGCTCATCAGAATCAGAATTGTTTTTATTACCAGGTAGGTTTACACATGCGAAAAATGTGCCATTGTATACAGTATATGGTGCATATAAAGACACAGAAAGAAGAATATGAATAAAACAATTATAATAATGTTAAGATTATTGAAACAAATTAGAAAATAAAGACAAAATACACAAAATATAATTATGTAAGGAACTGAGTAAAATATAATAAAATACTTGTATCTTCAATGATCAGCAACCAAATGAATCATTATTGATACTTTTCTTGTAGAAATGTACAGCTATATTGTCCAAACTATTGTGAGGAATGTGTATGCCAACCTATATTTACCTATTATGTACTTTAGGTCTATAGAACAGGTATCTTTTATGATGGGTTTTGTCTATACCTCTGTCTTCCTCCATAGCTATACAATTTGAAAGGCTCTTAACATCATCATGGCATGCATATGAATAGATGCAGTAGTTGTTAAACTCACCAGTGGATGAGTAAATATACAATACATATATGTGTGGTCCTAATGTGCCTAAACAGTATTCGTATATTCCATTATTTGATACTAAGTACTGCACTGTATTTACAGTATAAGTGCTTGCAGATAAAAGATAGCGGTAAACGAGTGGGTGGGATTGTTACTTTCATTTACTCAGAAGGGATAGAAAGTGAGATCTCTCGTCATACCTAACCGCTGTTCACTCTGTACTATAACCTGCAAAACATAATGCGTCACTGCAAGCATCAAAAGAGGAAGTCGCTTGTTTTTGAAATCATCATCTTAGCCTGCAAGAATTCATAAAGTATTTGCAAACATCTTGGTCTTATGGATGCGTTAGAAAATATTGAATCAATATTAATTGGATTATTGGTTTTTCTGGAACCATTAAATATGCATGGCAGCTAGGAAATCCACATCATGTTTATTACAGAGAAATGTTGCCTGGGAAAATATAAAACAGATTTAATATGAGGATAAATTCATCCATATCATACATTAATCAATCCTTTATCTTGTTTTTCATTTCCATTTTAAGTATAGGTTTCTTTAAATGACAATTATTACTATTTAGCACAATAAGACACTCTTTTTTAGACACTTTAAAGACATTTATTTAAAAGGATTATAGTGTTTTGTGAAGGTGTTGATACTGTATGTCTTGTATTGTCCTGGTCTATAATAATGTCTCACTTTATTTGTTATGATGTTATTGCACGGAGCAAATGGTGCAAAGGTCGCTAATGATCAACATTTAAAGGCAGAGGAAGGAAATTCACTAACTATAGATCGGATGTTTTCGACTGAATAGCTATTAAATACAATTTTACTTTCCCTTTCTACAATTCCTGTTAAATTTGGCTCCCTCCCTGGTCTCTACTTACAGCATATCCCCCTCCTGCCTTGATTTCCCCGCTTTGTCTATAAAGGATTCCTATCCCTTGATGATTCCAGAGGTTTGGAAACCCTGGCAGTGGCCAAATAATGATTACTTGAATAAATCTCCTGAAAAACCCCTTGACATGTCCTTGAGTCATGTAAACAATCTCTGACAAGACCCACACAGGTACCCTAGAGATAAACAAGAGGCAGCTGAGCCTAGTGTTTTGCTATTTAGCTCATTAATATGAAAATATATGCAGCAAGGTGGTCCAACATCTAATCAGATAATCTATTCCATAGCAGGAACATGCGGTGTAAATGAGTTTCCTATCATGTCCTGTCCTTGTCCTATTGTAGGCCGATTAATGGTGATAACACTATAAGGCATTCTCCAAATAACATATACACTATAAGGAGATCAAAATGTAATGTTGCTTGTACAGGAAGGGTGTCTTAACCTTTCCTGCTTTCCCAAATATAAATACACTGTGCCAATGCTACATCTAGTGGCTGCTTCACCTTCCTACAAACATGTGTATGATCCCGAAGTCGATTATATGTATGTGGCAATTCATTATTACTAATTATTAAAAATAAGTAGTTATTACATTTTATCTCATGTTTGAGTAGTTCAAATCTCTTAATGGTTGCCCAGGAACCACTGTCAAATATATGGACGGTTACATTTCACAAGAGGGATGAACCCCTGATCCTGTTGTCGTACTGCTACAGACTTCTCATTTTATTTTATTTCTTATACATTTTATTTAACTGACCATATCGTTATATCATGAATACTCAAATCAGTGCACTCACTAAATAAACAAAACCCAGAAGAAGCTGATGCAAAAACGGATCTCCCCCTTAGCAAAGTGGTTTCTCCCACTTGCTTCAATGGTGGACGTTCCATGCCTTCTGTTTACATCAATGCTTCGTAGTTGTACAGGTAAGCAAATCAGTCATTTTCTGGCTTGTTGGACATACATTTTGATAGATACTTACAGTATGCCTAAACCAGTCAGTAGTTTGTACAAAACAAAGGCGGTAAAGTTAAACATAAACCATTGCTCAAACCTACATAGTTACTTTCACTGCTAACTAATATTAGCTCATTTGTATGTTTAAGCTAGCTAACCGGCTTTATCCGTAACGTAGTTTGTTTTATTTGTTTTAGTTGCTAACTACATGTCGTCGGTTCATTTATCCGCTTTGAGAAAAGTGAGGTGTGTTATATTGACCTTTCCCCCAGTTAAACATGAATGAACTCTTCTCTATCAACTGAGGACAGGCTACTGCGTGTTATTTATCTAAGCACCCAGGTGCTGCACATGTGACTTTCTCACTGTAGATATTGTTGACTTGTCATAACAGGAAAAAGTGTTACTAATAACATTAATGGCTCTGTTCTATTCAAGTGTTCCAGTTAGAGTGAGCAGGCATCCAAAGTATCATGACCCTGAAATCAAAGCAGCTAAATGTAAGTTTATCATCATTAATTTCATTATTTACACCAGTGTGCTTTTCCAACTCTGTGTCTACTGAAAATGGTCTCCGTGAAAATGTCTGTGCAAGTGTTGTTGGTGAAGGGGGGCAAGTATCTTATTGCAGTTTACTTTTGGCCTTGGCTTCACCACATGATTATTTTTTACCTTCCCCTTAAAGGTGGGGTAGGTAAGTTTGAGAAACCGGCTCGAGATCGCTAGAATTTGAAAATACACAACCGGAGAAAATCTGCCACTTCCTTATAGAGCCCATAGACTATATATAAATGGACGTAGGGTCCGTGACGTTGCCGAGAAGCCCTTAGTAGGCGGAGTCGGCCACTAACGGCTCGACAGTGGCGTCAGAGTTCCACTCCCGCCTGCTCCAAATAAGGGCAAAGAGGCGGAGCCGAGGCGGGACCTGCTGCCTCCGGGCTGGAAGTTCCAGAGCTAGCTCAAGCTACCAAGCTAAGCTAACATGCTCCCCATCTGCACACTGCCGTCGCATTGTACGTTTCTAAGGTAAGCGGACATGACATGAGACTATTCAGCAAAACTATAAATAATAATCTAAGTTGAGATTTTAGCATAATACTTCAGAATTTTAAAATCCCTTAACGTTTGTATGCAATGTGCTAAATGCAACACTGGAATCAAGCAAATATTAATATGTTTGCATGACATTAGTTATTTATATTTTGCCATCACTTAATTATACGTTTAATACATTTAAGTTAAGCTAAGGTGCATGTGATGATAGCTAGTTAGTGCTCTTACCTGTGAGGCCTCCTCCAAACAGCATTATAACCAGACTATCATTAAAACTATAAGTACCAGTTCTAGATCCTTGACTTTAGACAAACAATTCAAAAGACAAAATGTATTTAAAGACCAATCTTTATTTGAAGGTGCCTCTTAACCTGAGATATTAGTTATACAGTAATAGTATTGACAATCTAAAAAAACTGAGCAACTCAACGGTTCACTTTTATATTTCTTATTGTCTAAAGCATTTATTATTTTCATTTTTCCCCTCTCATATTCAGTGTGGACGGATTGAGACAGCGTGGTGTCCAGAGAGCTGCAGAGACTTCAGGGAGAAACCTCCGTGTGATGGACGTCCAGTCTGTTGGTTTGGAGAGGACTGAGGGTCTTTCCTCTGAGGAGGGTCAGACCTGATGGAGGAGCCCATGCATAGCTGATACCACCTGCACAGGCCTTGTCTGTCACTTTATTTGACTAAATGTGTTTACTTATACATTTAATAGGTTTACACCTTCTGTCCATATGTGCTTTTTATTTAAAACATGTTTGATTAACTTTTGGTTCACATTTCAATAAATTGAATTTGTATTTGCACTCCTTTTGTCCATTATTCTTACTGAAAATGTTAGATTACACATTCACATCCGACTGAAGATTGGCCCCATTTATTTGCGTTGCAAACTCTGCGGTACAAGGTACATGTTGTGAAGCTCATAAAGTGAGGCAAATAGAAATAATCAGCTGATTGAGTGTAGATGTGGAAATAGGTGCATTCGATCAGCTGACTGTGTTTTCACAATAAAAATAGTTTCTTAGTGAATGTCCTGTACTGGTCTTAACATCTCATAACATCAGCTTTTAATTTTCCTATTGGATGTTTTTCTTGACCCTCGGAGAAAGAGGAGATGCTGAGTCGTGTCTTTCAGGCATGTCCTTTCCTAACAGAAATTACAGGAAACATAAAACATATTATTGCAGAACAAGTGTGTTATTTATGAAAGTTGTGTGTTTAGGGGCTGTAGATATAATTATTTTGTAATTGTAATGTTTTTTTTTGTTTCAACAGTGAGCTACAAAGACAATCAGATTATGAATGAACAGTATGAAATTCATCAACATTGAAATGTATTTTATTATCAAAATAATATTTAACTGTTATCAAAACTTAGTGCAACTGTAGAAGCTTGCTCTGTTGTCTCACTGAAAGAATAACTTTTACCACGTTTCCACAGACAATATTGAGAGATAAATAGCAGTTGTCACTATGCGTTAAATATCTTTGCCTTCAATACCTTAAATTAGAAAGCTGACAGTCATATTGCTTGTTAACATCTAAATGTAACCCTTTGCATGGAAAAAACCTTCAACTTCACTGATGTGTAGGTGATCTAGTATTTAGTATTGTTTAATGGAATGTATATCAGTGTATTAAAGTCAATACTTCATTTATTTAAACCAATATCTTTCTTGATTCTTTGTACAGTATGAAAAAAGAGTATTTGTACCTGTGCTGAAGTTCACTGCTGTGAGGAGTCCAGTTCTGTCTCTCACTCTCTGGTCCAGCCTGTCTGCATCACCTGCACAATTTAAACAAACAGATATATATGTAAAGAACCATGTGTACAAACAATATAACTTATTCTCTTCTGTTGAACATGTTGGATTGTGTATTGTCCGAGTCAGGGTCCTTTTTATTTTACTGTAACTTTGGAAGTTGTGTTACCAATGCTTACTGTTTATTTGATACCAATTTGGTAATGCAACAAGGTTTGGGTTCGTTCTTCAGATGACTGTGATGTTAACGTGTAAGCTCAATAATGAACTCCAGCTCAACCAACCATATTGTAATATCTAAGTAATCATCTTGAAATATGACATTAATAATTGTAATATACACACATCTTATTGTGAGGTTGATTTCACATACACTACTTCGACGTTAGCTTGTCTACATACTCGAGCATAGCCAATTTAAATTAACCTTAGCATGCATACAGTTCCTACCTACATAATAAAATATCTCTCTAAGTTACAAGGATGACCTTATTTTATCAACCTCAAACAGAAGCCTTTTGTTCTCCAGTATTATCCCACTTAACGCTTAACACTTGTCTATTTCGTTTTAACCTTTATATATACGGTCTATGGTTTTAAGTTAACTTGGAGGCTACGATTAGCATCGTTAGCACCGATGTAGCTACCACTCGCTTACACGCTAACCCAAGCCTTAACATTCATTACGTAGCTGATTAAAATCATAAACACATAAGTACTCGAATTTCACTTACCGCAAAACGGCATTCATGCACCGTCTGTTTTAACCGCAGAGCGAGTCACAATAGTCCGATATATAAGCATGAAGAACAAACAAACACGGCCGGGGTCAAGTTGTGTTCCCTGGATGAACTGAGCAGGCAGAGTCCCTGTAGCTTCACGGACGGAGCAGCTAGCAGAGAGACAAGAAGCTAACAGCAGCAGTCACTTGACAGAGCTGTCACTCAATGTGACCACGCCCTAATTTATGCAAAGACTTTAAGACCTAATATAAATAAAAGGGTCATGTTAGAAAACAATTCACTCACAGATCCATAATCATGAAGGTGGAATCTACTATATACATAATAAAATTTATTGCAGCCAGGGCTAGAAACGTTTTTTTTCTGCTGTGAAATTGGGCATTTTAACATGGGGGTCTATGGAAATTGCTCCTTTCTGCAGTCATCGCCTATCGGCCAATATATGAACTGCAGTTTGTGGCACTTCCGTATTGGCGTCCCGGCTCTTCCCCAGAGTTTGCCGCTTGATAGAGCCCCTCCTCCAACACACACGAACGCGCACATGACCGCGCACATGACCGCGCACATGACCGCGCACATGACCAATGAGGGCACGAGATACGTTTGTGCACAGATGGAAGGCTGATAGGCAGGTAGGCCATCCAGTTATTTTAGCCGGGCCGGCTAAAATGATTGGTCGTACTTTTTACAGTATTACGGCTTCCACAGATGACATTTATTTTATGGATTTTTTGTCAAAGCACTTAAGATATTCATTGCTATCGGGATGTTAAGAGCATACCATGGAATATAACAAAAAGTGTATGTCGAGCCGGTTTCTCAAACTTACCTACCCCACCTTTAATGTCTGTGCAGGGGCCATAATATACCACAATATATAATGACCTTATAAAGTTATTGATCATGACTTGACTACTGTTTAAGTTTAGCGATGGCACTGTTGACACAATATAGAAAATGCATTCTTAATGTAAAATGACACAGTCACTAAACAAAACAGATGGAAGAGTATTTTGTCTGTGGCAATTCTTAACAAAATATATCATCAAACAAAACGATATGGAATGGCAAAGAATAGTATTGTGTGTGTGTCTGATATCAAATACATATTTAAAAAAGAAGATTTGTGAAAATGAGCAAGCCACACAGAGGTGGTTTATTTTTGTGAAAGCGATGACATTTATTACATTTTTTCTTTTCTTTCACAGAAGTGGTGACCACAAAGCCTGATTAAAGGGATAAATACACCCAGGCCATTACAGAGAGAGCTGTAATGGCTTACTCGCAGATCCGACTGAAAATTCTCCCCAGCGTTCGATGTCTCTTTGATAAACTGGTGCAGGTACGAGTAGAGGGACTCACTCCTTACAAACAAGTCAAACTGAGGTCCAGACTAGTTGATGACGGAGGGCGGGTTTTCAAGGCTTCTGCCCTGTACAAAGCAGATGAAACAGGCCAGGTGGATGTCTGCCGTGCACCCTCTCTGGGAGGAAGTTACACCGGAGTGGAGCCCATGGGCTTGTTTTGGGCCATGGCACCGGAGATTCCACACAGTAAACTCCTGAAGAAGAATGTGCTCAGCCCAACACTTGTGGAGATCGAGGCGATGAGTGCAGAGACTGGTGAGCTGTTAGCTTCTGAAACCAACGAGAGAGGATACATGACAGAGGGGATGAAGAGAATACCTGTGCAAGAGGGAAGGATACGAGGAGTCCTCTTCATACCACCAGGTTAGTTGTGTTTTAAGCGACTGGAGAGTGTTCTGCTTAACTTTTACTCACACATTTTTTATTTTCTCCAGGTGAGGGTCCATTCCCAGGAATAGTGGATTTGTACACATTTGGTGGACGTCTCACAGAGCCCAGAGCCAGCCTGTTAGCAAATAAAGGGTTTGTTGTACTGGCACTGGCCTACATGGGCTATGAGGATTTACCAAAAAAACCTAAAAAGTTGGATTTGGAGTACTTTGACGAGGCTGTGACATATCTGAGGAGACAGCCAGAGGTTAGTGTCTGAGACTCAAACAGTAAAGACAATTATATTATTAGAATCTCAATGTTATCCCATCCATTTCATCTTTCTTTGTTTTGCATCTGTTGAGAATGTATTAGATATATTGGCCCATATTAGAATGAACTGTGTCAATGTTGCCACCTGCTGGCTACTTTCTGAAGGCACACGTCTAAGCCTGGGACAGAAACTGAAGAATATAAAGCATCATTTAGGATAATTCTCTTTATTTGATGAGCCAGACAGAATCTTTTTATAGTTTCAGCTTACATTTTGGAGACAATATCACCTCGGGCTTTAGGAATTGTTAACATTTTTCAGTTTTTTCTGACATTGTTTAAAAATTAAAACAACTAAATGTAGAACAAGAAGTAATGAAAACAATTGTCAGTTGCAACCGTAGTGTATTTAATTCGGTTTTGGATATGATTAAGACATTGTTGTTGTTTTATTGTTTTTATGAATTAGGACATATTAGCAGGGGAACAATATTTTTAAGTTGATTATTAATACAAACAATCTCTCTGCAGGTTAAAGGTCCGGGGATCGGCATCATATCGATCTCTCACAGTGGCGGTTTGGCTCTGTCAATGTCCTCTTTCCTCTCTGGGATCTCAGCGACCGTCTGCATTAATGGCTGCAACGCAAATACTGTGATTCCTTTACACTACAAAGATCTCATTATACCACCACTTACCCCTGTCCTGAAGAATATTAAATTCACAGACTCTGGGCTTTTATATGTACGTAATGGCTTACCTGACCCTTCTTTGGAAAAGAACAGGGCGTCACAGTTTCCAATTGAACGTGCCAGCTGCCACTTCCTGTTTGCTGTTTCTGAAGACGACCACAACTGGAACAGTGTTTTATTTGCCAACCAGGCTGCTGCTACGCTAAGAAGTCATGGCAAAGAGTCTTTTCAGGTTGTTACATACCCTAAAGCTGGACACTTTTTGGAAGTCCCTTACATGCCTCATTGTCCCTCTGGGTTTCATCCAGCCGTAGGGAGCGAGGTGACATTTGGTGGGGAGCCAAAAGCCCACTCTGAGGCTCAGCTCGATCTGTGGGAACGAGTCCAGCAGTTCTTCAAGAGCCACTTGGACAACAAGAGTAGGCCTACTTGTTAGCTAGCAATGCTGAATCAAGTGTATCAAGCATGCCAGAAGGGCTGTCGTTAGTAACACTTAACACTGCCTTCAGTTTCTAATTAATGACATTTTCAAAGGTGTACTTAATGATACTTAACGAGTACCAGCACGGAAGGTAAAGGAGCCATCGTAAATTACCTGCTTGATATGTACATAAACTATGTTTTAAAACTATGAGAATGAAGAGAGGTGATTGAAGATGAGAAATTATTGTATATGTATGTATAAATGTAAATGTAAGTAGGAATAACTTGCATAATGACTTAAAGGACAATCATTGATCAAGTAAGGGGTGGGAATTAATAAGCATTTGCTTCCTCCTACTCCCTTTCGGACACACATGATTTTTTAAATTATTATTATTATTATTAATTAGGGCTGTCAGTCGATTAAAATATTTAATCGCGATTAATCGCATGATTGTCCATAGTTAATCGCGATTAATCGCAAATTAATCGCACATTTTTTATCTGTTCTAAATGTACCTTAGAGGGATATTTTTCAAGTTTTTAATACTCTTATCAACATATGAGTGGACAACTATGCTTTATATGTTTGTTTATTATCATTTGAACAATGACAAATATTCTCATGAATATTAAACACAACAACCTCTGAACATTACAAATATTCGCCTCAATTCAACCTAGAACCTCTCTCATACAATAATACAATACTGTGTGTGTGTGTGTGTGTGTGTGTGTGTGTGTGTGTGTGTGTGTGTGTGTGTGTGTGTGTGTGTGTGTGTGTGTGTGTGTGTGTGTGTGTTTTGGAGCTATGTGCAGCTCAAGGCATATATGCCTGTGTGTATGAGCTGTGTTGCGCGCACTATCCGTGCTGAGTGTGCTGTCTGGCTACCTGCATAAAGTCAAGTGCTCGGCGCAGTTGTCGGCGAAATGTCGCTCCTCTGTTTTCATTGAAACAGCTCCTTATATCCGTTAGCTCAGCTAGCTAGCACCAGATGCTAACAACAACACGTAAGGTGTGCTTCGCTCGCGCCACACATACACACACCCTCCCGGTCCTCCCGATGGCCAGTCCGGGCCTGCCGGTGAGCGTGGAAGTGTGGTCTGCCACAAGCGGGCGGCAGGAGCGGGGCTGTCAGCATCAGCTTGTAGATGGTATTTTAAACTCGATGCGCTCTGAAACTACGGCGGCCGAGGACAAAAAATACACATGCGTTAATCGCGTTAAAATAATTAGTGGCGTTAATTTTTTTTTGCGTTAACGCGTTATTAACGCGTTAACTTGACAGCCCTATTATTAATATGAAGACGTTTTTTGTTGAATATATAAATATTATCGTGAATGTGGATAAATACTGTATTTTAACAATACGGTATTCCAGTGGCGGCCGGTCCATAGGGGCGCTAGGGGCGCCGCCCCACCTCTTCCCATATTGAAAAAAAAAAGAAATAATAATAATTAAAATAAAAAAAAAAAAATATGTTTAAAAAAATATATATGTTTTTATTTTTATTTTTAATGAACAAGGTAAATATTATATAATTGGTATCAGTAAAATGTATAATCTACAATAAAATCTCGTTTAAAATTGTGTTACGATGTCTAAAGTTACTGATAAGTCACATGTTTCCTGCCTGGCCTTGCCCATGCACCTTCTCTCGTCTGGGCGCTAAGAGAGGAGCCTTCAACCAGTGCAGCAGCAGCCACCAGCAGCTGACTGTTGCTATCTGTAACGTGTAAACTATGCCGCGAAAATATAATTTCAGCCAATCAGCGTCGTCAAAGATGACGGTCACCGGGCGCCAATGTCAGCGCCCAGTGCAGTCTGTGAGTAGTTTGGACAGTGACTCGTATCCGGTTGACGCAGTAGTTGATGAGGATGGCTTCGTGTGCAGGTGGAGTCTCCGGACCTCGGTCCCCGCCTAATTCTGTTCAAGAGCTAATCTCCAATCCTTTCGAAAGGAGAAGTTTGGCAGATAAATTGTTGCTTAAAGACCTTGCACCGGACCAACCCGATTTGAATATATCGCAGCAATCTCGTGAAAAAGACAACATTTATACACAAGGCTTCACAAGTAGCTGGTACACAAGAAAGGCTTGGCTAGCTGGATGCAAACAGGTAAATGCTGTCTTTTGTTTCCCATGCTTGGATATCACTTTATATGTAGAGAGGAGGTTTCCCATGGTTGTTAGAAGTTTATTAATAAGTGGGCATTTATCACAGAAGTGATTGTTCTGTCTCCACGTTTGTTGCATTGTCTGTGATGTATTTTCCAACGGTTATAGCTCCTGTTCTGTCCCAGCAACACTACACGGTTTGCAGCTCCACCACATTTTTGGTTTATCTTCGGTGTCGCTTAAAATCTGCTTCCCATCGGACTAAAACCTCCACGTAATCTGAAGACAGATACTTGAAGTTATTTAAACCTTTTGCAAACTTTATGTTCTTTCTTGCTCTAGCCTTGCCAGTTACATTGTACATAACACATATATTATCATTATGCTAACTGGTTGTTCGTGTTAGACGATGTAGCTTTTTCATTTCTGAGTTATTGCTATATGTAAATAAGCCTGTTTGTAAATAATCCTCAGAGAAACAAAGAAAAAAACACAATTTATGACATTTTGTGCTGTGGTTATTTTTTTTAAATTGCATTTATTCACAGTTCAGTTTGAAATGCTGTAGTGACTTGTATTGAACCACTTAAATATTTATAATTAATGCTACTGAAAAGATGCTATTAATTTTATATCTCACATGCAGTTCACTGTAAAGCTACTTGGTGAAGGTGTTGGTTCATAAAACATGAACAGTTTTAAGAAAGAAAAAAACAGACCAGTTCTGAGAACACAAATTCCTGGTAAAGTAGTAGATGTTCAGGTTGATAAATAATATTTTCCACACTGAAGATTATGGAGGTATTGATCAGTCTTCTCATATTTTTAAGCCTCGATTTCTCCTTTCCCCCCCCCTCTAACATCACCAGAAGTCATCATTTAAGGGGTCATTTCTCGAAAACAATTTCCGGGGGGAAACCCCCCGGACCCCCCGGGTAGGTCACTTACGGTACGTCAAGAGCCCCACCAAAAAAAAGACCACCGGCCGCCACTGCGGTATTCTGTTTTTCACATTTTTTTTAATTTATTTTTTTTAATCTGTTCGAAATAAAGATTGAAATGAAATGAAAAATAAAGGACATTAACTGGAAACAAAGTAATCATCGAGAACATTTGTTGTTGCAAAATGATTTAGGATTGCAGTCTTACACCAAGCAAATAAGCAATTGCATCATTTTGTTTCATCATCCTTGTTATAACGCACTCGCTTACACCAATCAGTGGCTTTATGAGACAGTGAAGAACAGCAGAGACATTAGTTAGCATCCCAGACAAAGACGCCATGAATATGACTCATTTGATTAATGTTGGCCTCTAGTGGCAGCTCAGCCTTCCTACATTTTTCTTGATGTCTTTTACACATAATGTAAGTGTTGTCACATTCAACGTAAGATGAAACGCATCATTATCAAAGATTGTGCAACAAAAGCCTATATTCTTCGTGTAATTTGATCCCACTGTTGCTATTTTATCCCATTGTTTATGTGGAAAACCTTGGAATTTCACATGTAGGGTCTGTTTCAAAGGGAAGTGGATTTACTTTGATGTAAGCTTTTCTCTTAGGGGTTTTATTAATAATGTAGCCTGCATTAAATAGTCTCATTCTGTTGGAGACACTGATATCTCTCTCAGTACGTACACCTTTATGCACACAGTTTTTTACAGAAGCTGGTGCAGACATCATGCATGACATGTTTCTAAATCACATGATACAGAATGTGACTTAATGAATGTCAGACATGAATCAGCACTGTGCTGATTAATGCTTGATATTCAAGTGCAGTTTATATATTTAGCATTACAATTAGCATTATTAGCATATGATTAGTTAAGATCATTGATCTCCTGTCGTTTCTCCATAATGCTCCATTTAAGTATCTCCTCGGGGTGTCCCTGTTTGGCTAGAAATAGACTTACACTGTAATGAATAATAACATGAAGTAAATTAGAAATTCTGTTCTGTTTTACGGAGGTATGTCCTCTCCTATTTTGGTATTTCCAGCAAACCAAAGGGGAATGTCACACGTTCCTGTGAGAGAACAGCCTGAGCAGGACAACAGCAGGGTTTGTGTTCAGGGTAAAGTCATGTCTGGTTACATTAGTATATCTGGAGAGCACCTTCTGGGGCTGGAAAAAACAACAAATGATATAAAGTTTAATTATTGTAAAATGTCCACTCATTTATATGGGTCTCAGGATAACTTGTATTTTCTGTGTTAATATTATTACTGCTGCATTATTGTGTATGTTGCATTTTACTGCTGTAGATGTTTACAACTGTTAACTTATATAAACTGTTGGGTAGTTTAGCCTACAGCAATGCGTCATATTCAATTATAATTCCATGTTTGTAGCATTGCTGTTCTGTTAGAAACAAGTATCTCTAAAAAAAGAGAACTTTTCGTGAGTTTCTTAAAAAAAAGGCCTGTTTTTAGCTCTGCAAAAATGTAAATAATGTAATATGTGTCCAGTAGGAGACTTTACATAAAGGAACACTTCATCTTTCAGTTTATCAGACACACTTGGAGATGCATGGTTTTTACTGGACAGGAAGGAAATGTATTATATAATGTAACTATGCTGTCAGAGAAGTGAAACAATATATAACAATATGTATCTACAATTGAATTGCTAGAATGGAAATACTTCTTTTTAATTGGTGCTAAAGTTCAGTTAGTGACCTTAGTTACTTTCCATATACTGACCAGTGTGTAATTCGGCCACACTTGTCATTCATAAGACTCAGTGGAGTTCCTCGGTGCCATAAAAGAAGAGGAGGGGCTCTTCTTCTCAGTGTGGCACCTCACGCTGTGAGATATTCCGTTACTCTCAGGCTACCAATGACCAGCCTCTGACAGTGCGACAGCAGCCGGAGAATCAGCCTCACAGACGATATTTTAGCTGCACGGCCAGAGGGGATGGTGGCGTGTTCTCGGTGCTGCAAGCTTCGCCGGAAAAGACACTTGCAACCCGGTGTGTTTTTGAGGTGCACTCGGTGTCAGAGTAGCATCACTGCGCACGGATTTCAGTGACTGATTTCTGCCATGCATCCGCATTGGAGGATATGGGGCATGCTGCCTATGCATGATATTTCCCTGCGCTTTGATGCTTGATCATTGCATCATGTTTTTTCCTGATGTATCAGATACATTTCCTGACAGAATAACCTGTTATTTCAGGCAGCTGCACGCATTGCCTACCTGTGTGTCCGCCTCACTGACATCTCTGCTTGCAAGCTTGTAGATTGTTTTGGTTGCAAGGCATCGCTATCATCCACACTGACATGCCTCTCCAATGCTGGCTGCTCACATCCCGCCAGACGTCTTAAACACCGCGGGGTGAGCGACATGGACAGTGGGATCCGGGCTGTGACGGTGGGAGACGGGACAGCCAATTTCTCCGCGGCAGCCCACCTCTGGCTGGAGCCGCTGAACGCCTCCAGTCCCCCGCCGCTCCGGTGGGACCGCGGCGGGCAGCGCCTCCTCCGGGAGCAAGCCTACCGGGACTTCACCACCGCCATCCAGGTGTTCATCCTCATAGGATCGCTGCTCGGTAAGTCGCTTCTAGTTCTAACACACATACTTACTGTGTAATCTTGACAGAAAAGGCCCCCATTACACCTGCAGACATTTAAACCTTATATGTTTTGGTATCACTCCATTGAAACATTTACTAGGCTACTGCATGTTTTTCATGAGCTTCAACAGTTTGGTTATTGAATGTAGGTACATTTTTCCACATGGGGACACAATGTATGCAAGATTAATTCGAATATCTGAGGACATCTGCAAAAACAAGTAATCCTAAAATATCATAAATGCCTTAATGAAATGAATATAATTGGTGTATTCTGTACCAACATTTAAAATATGGTCACGGTAATGGGATATTTAGCTCTTCCAACTCATATTGTACATACTTGACCATACCATGACCATCAACAGGCAATCTATTTTATAGAATGATAAGGTAATACATACAAAAAAGAGGTCTGTTTTTCAATCAAATGTGATATAATTTCCCATTTAAACTGGTCAGACAATTAACCTCTTTCAGCCAAACCATAGTTTATTTATAGAATGTTGGTGTTTATATAATTATTCCTTATAAAATTAGAGAGTTTGTAACCCAACAGCCACAAAATAAAACCCCGCAAGATGCCCTCTCTCCAAACTCCTAACATATCAGTGTCAGACATCCCTAAAATATTCAGCCCTGACTGCACATAATGGTGAAGGATGCAGGGTTTCTTTTGGGAAGATGCAGAGCATGGTGCACTCAGACTCCTTGTGCACATCTTCCACAGTTTCATCATGATAAAGTCGACGTCCTTCTGTTGAAACGGAGGTCAAGACATCAGTTATATGGTCATTGAACATTGAACTGACAGCAGCATTGTTTCTGCACTATAGCTGTCCACATGGATGCACAAAGAAGTAAAATACGGTTTGCATCCCATTTAATCTTGTTTGAAGATATCTGATTGTTGGTGTGTTTTGCCTGTTAGCTTGATGGTAATTTTTACATTGAGTGTCAAACAGCGATACTTTATGTTGATGAAAAATAAAAACATACAAAAAGTAAAAACACTTAACTGGTGTATTTAATGCCTTCTTCCATTGAAAGGTCTGCAACCCAAAGAGACAGTAGTCTATGGTGGTAAACATGACATGTGTTGGTGACCTATTTTACCATGAAATTGGCAAAAATTGGTAGGCAATAACTCATCGTACACAATTTAAGCCTCTTTCAAGCTGAATCTCTGCTGGCTCTGAGACAAATATTCCTGCTTGTGCCAGGAGAAGCTCAGGCTGCTGCTGATGATGATGGAAGTGAGGATTGAGCCGTGAGAATTGACGGAGCGCAGCAGCACATCAGTGTCACCACGTTTGACATCCATTCCATCTTAATGCCAGCCAAAAAACATAATCCTCCTGCCAAAAATAAGCACAGCATATGAACGTGTTATTTGTCACAAATGTGGCTGTAACATCCTGTCTCCTCGCTGCATTAAACACACACGGCTATGATTGCTTGTGCTGTTTGGGAAAAGTGTGGACTCAATCACAGGCTGCTCAAACAGTCCACCATGATGAAATAGGACGAAATCAAAACTGTTAAAAATGGCAAAATGACTATTGCTCTGACTCATTACCACCTCCTGCTGTGCGGTGCAATGTGGCAGGGTCAGGGAAGCATGACATGAATGGCTGCAGAAATCTGCCTTTTAGCAACACAGCTTAAAATCCTCCTTTTTATCTGTTTGTTGACTTGGATACGTATAAAACATCTATTTTCCTTTACAAACAACCTTGTTTATATGAGCCTAAAATGTAAATAAGTAAAAAATACAGCACATATGAGAATCTGAACCTTAAGCCAGAGGTTTAGAGGCATGGATGCACCAATGGAGCACAACAAGTGACATAGGATTTAAATAGAGTATGTTAAAAGAAACAGACACGACCCTCAAACATTATAGCAAAAGGAGATTGACGGTGAAACAGTGAATCCAGGGCATACTTTTAAAAAGGATTGTGCGGCCGATAAACCTGCACAAATTAGGCAAAAAGAAACCGTGTAAATGTCAAAGCACCTGCAAAGGGTGACATGGAATCTGCACCGCAAACACCATCTCTTTCCTACCATTTGCACATATTTAAAAAAGGATACATGCAGAAATATAGCGCAAAAGTGGCCCCTTTCTTTGCAAATGAGCCTCATTGCTATATCACTCAAACTCACAACACTCAGTGCTAATAGCAACACAGTTATAGTAATTATGATTCAAGGTTTTAGTGGCATTAAAGTTTTAATATAAAAGCCATTATCATTACATATCAAAATGAATCAATTTTGCGAGCAGTCCCTATTCAAACACCCATTGTAAGGTTGATTGGAGATCTGTTTCATTCCACCTATACAAATGAATATAATGTACAAAAAAAAGAGGACAAATATTTTATTAGCAGCCAACCTTCAGCCTGGCTACGAAACCATAAATAACCCAGAGAGTAGAACAATGAATAATACAACTGATGATGATCCAGAGAACTGTCTTTGAGGTTGAAAAAAGTGTGTTCGTGACTCTCCAGCCACTTTTACAACACAATAAGCGTTTCATTGTATGAAAAAAGCTAGAGTACATCATCAGATGGTGCACTTACTGTCAGCGATGATGTTGGTTCCATCATGCAGGCACTTTTATTGTCCCGTTGTGGGTGTGATTTAATATCTTTCCATTTTCTAGAGAAAATCTGTCTGAGTGACTGAAAAATAGAAGAAAATATTTGTGCACGTCATGATACATGAACACACATCAATTTATCAGATTCATACATCGTTGGTACACCACGCTAGGGCATTACAACAATTTAATAGAGGTTTGAAAAGAGGTACTTTTTAGTTTAAACAAAAAGAGAACACATTGTCACTTGTTAAAGTTAAAAACTGCATATCTGGCACCCCTTAAACTCAGAGATGGGAGTTATATTGATGTTCACATCTAACACTATGAAAGAAAGCAAAAATGTGCAATTCCAAAAAATGCATTTCAAGGTTATATCATTCCTATTTATTAGCAGAAAATTGTAGTTTATCCCGTTAAAGCAAAGATCAGATTTTGACTGTATAAGCGGATTAATGTGCCACTGTGTGCACGGCACCCTTACGGATCGTAATCACGTCTGTGAGGAATTACAGAATGTGGATATCTGGCTCTTTATTCCTCTGCTCATTACCATTCATACAGAAGTTGCTTATTGAAACAAAAGCAATTATAACATCCCAGGGTTGCAACAAAAGAAATGTGTGTTAATTATGTTTCACACTTTGAGTTTCAACAGCTAATGATAATATGTTTAGACACCGGATGAGTCTTGTTCCACACATAACAGCAGCTTATTAACACCTTTCCAGAGAGGACACAATTAAGCTTCATGTGTGTGAAGCAGAAAAACATTAATAGAAGTATTTTGAGTTATTCTTGTAGTTTGACTAATTTATTAAGTGGAACAAATCCATCATGTGTAGTGAGTGCTCTCTCTTTACATTGGCTGCTGTTAGTATGGTTGCCAAGGAGCTCCTTGAGTGTCAGGTGAGTATTTCAGGCGCTAAAGGACAATGACAATGAAGGCTCTGATTATAAAGGAGTACAGGTCTAAATACTGTCTCCATGATGCTCTAACAAGGACATATTTGATTGGTTACGTGTGTGAAGCACTTTGTAACACTGCATTTAAAAACTGTGCTAGAATAATCTGTTCATGTACGTTTGTTCAGGTTTGAAATGGTTTAAAAGTAACAGCTGTTTTTTCTAAAATGAAGTGCTGTGTTGGCCCTGTGATCCCACCTTCAGTAAATCACTTGCTTTGCAACCACTGTCAGGGTGTAATATCACACCATTGTATTTGTACTAAAATTTGACTCTCACTCTGCTTCTCCCAAGAGCCTTTTGTATTTTTTAGCCATGATATGTAAAGCCTTGAAAATTATCACTTACTTTTATTATCCAGTGAAATATCTTAACAGCTGTTGTTAGTACACATTTCGGCAACAGTTCTAAATTGGTTTGAATCCTACTTAAAGGGGACCTATCATGCAAAATGCACTTTTTGATGTCTTTTATACATAAATATGTGTGTCGGGGAACTCACGCAGCGTCAGAAAATAAAACCCTTTCTCTTTTCCCCCGTACCCAAATCTTTTAAGAACGGGGTTACAACGGAGCTGATCCAGATTTGCTGCCGATATGACGTCAAAAACGGCGGCGAACCCTCAGAAAGTTGCTATCAGAAACAATGCCTGACGTGTTTTGGACGTAATCTCGTCTTTGTTTACATTAGCAAGCCTCGCTAACACTCAGAGCTAACCTGTACTGTAGAGCACATGTGTTTAAAAAGCAGGAAATAAAAAAAGGAACTCACCTTGTGATAAACCCGCAGGAGAAAAAGCATTTGAGCTCCATACTGTTTCAGAAATAATCCTTGATGTGGTTTAGAACAGGATGGCGTTTTATCACAGCAGAATTTAACTTTATCTCCGGTAGAATTCTGATCAGGCATTAGCTCCGCCTCCTCTTTTTTTTTTTTAAGCTAAGGACCCAAAATCCGCGTTTCTCTAACAGGGCTGCAAAAGAGGGGTATGAGCAGTATGAGGCATGGCTACAATGGGTGATCTGTTCTGGTATTTTAAGCAAACAACTTCACAGACATGTTTTGTATAGGTATGGCCCTACAATATATTTTTCCAATATAGCGTAATAGGTCCACTTTAAAGGACAGAAAAAACGTTGTTTCTATAGGTAAATACACATCGGAGTTGACAAATATGACATGTGGGGTACCTCAAGGCTCCATCTTGGGGCCTCTTCTCTTTAACATCTACATGCTACTACTGGCTCAGATAATGAAAAACAGCTAAATAAGTTACCATAGCTATGCGGATGACACACACATTTACATAACCATTTCACCAGGAGACTATGCTCCAAACACTGAGTAAGTGCATTGAACAAATCAATGACTGGATGTGTCAGAACTTTCTCCAATTAAACAAAGATAAAACTGAGGTAATGGTTTTTGGAGCCAAGGCAGAACGTATAAAAGTTAGCGCTGAGCTTCAGTTTGCAATGTTCAAAACAACAGATAAAGCCAGAAATCTAGGTGTAGTCATGGACTCTGACCTGAGTTTCAACAGTCACATTAAAACAGTTACTAAATCAGCCTACTATCACCTAAAGAGCATATCTAGGATTAAAAGACTAATGTCACAGCAGGATTTGGAAAAACTTGTCCATGCTTTTATCTTCAGTAGACTCGACGACTGTAATAGTGTCTTTACAGGTCTCACTAAAAAATCTATTAGAAAGCTGCAGCTAATTCAGAACGCCGCTGCTCGAGTCCTTACTGACACTAAGAAAGTGGATCACATCACTCCTGTTCTGAAGTCTTTACACTGGCTTCCTGTGTGTCAAAGAATTTATTTCAAAATATTGCTGCTGGTTTATAAAGCTTTGAATGGTTTAGGCCCAAAATACATTTCTGACCTCCTGCTAAATTATGAACCACCCAGAACTCTCAGGTCTTCAGGGACTGGTCTGCTTTCTGTCCCCAGAGTCAGAACTAAACGTGGAGAAGCAGCGTTCAGTTATTATGCTTCAAATATCTGGAACAAACTACCAGAAATCTGCCGGTCCGCTGCAACTCTTACTACTTTTAAATCCTGGCTGAAGACTTTTCTTTTTGCCGCTGCTTTTAATTGAACTATTCATATCTTAAACTGAACTAACTTTTATCCATTTATTTTTTTCTTTTAATGTTTATTTGATTATCTTTGCTTTTTAATGACTTTTTTTAAATGCCATTTTCTTAATGTCTTTCATTTTTGTAAAGCACTTTGAATTGCCTTGTGTTGAAAGGTGCTATATAAATAAACTTGCCTTGCCTTGCCTTACACACAGTTATGTTCCTCTGCATGATCAATTGTAGCTTTTGTGATTCCCTCACATTACATCTAGGGCCATATCTGTGTAAAATGTTTATTTTGTTCAATGACCAAATACTAATGAGATTACAATCAACTGTAGTCTTTGTTTCGTTCTAATTATACTTCAAAATGTTTTTGCCATAGCCACAATTTTCCATAACTTGGACCTTAAGTTCATTAAAATTGCAGAAAGCAAGAAGTTTACAAACATTTAACTTAAAGGTAGGGTAGGTAAGTTTGAGAAACCGGCTCGAGATACACTTTTTGTTATATTCCATGGAATGCTCTTAGCATCCCGATAGCAATGAATATCTTAAGTGCTTTGACAAAAAATCCATAAAAAAATATCATCTGTAGAAGCCGTAATACTGTAAAAAGCACGACCAATCATTTTAGCCGGCCCGGCTAAAATAACTGGATGGCCTACCTGCCTGTCAGCCTTCCATCTGTGCACAAACCTATCTCGTGCCCTCATTGGTCATGTGCTAGTTCGTGTGTGTTGGAGGAGGGGCTCTATAAGGAAGTGGCAGATTTTCTTCGGTTGTGTATTTTCAAATTCTAGCGATCTCGAGCCGGTTTCTCAAATGTACCTACCCTACCTTTAATCTGGGTCTTGCAGAATCATTTTACATTGAGTTTTCAGTCTGGCAATAGATCAGAAATGATAGTTTTTTACAAACAGGAACTAAACTGACGATGGAAGTGATGACTCTTGGTGCTTCGAATCCAAGAAGGAATTGCTGTGGTGTTTTATTAAAACCATAAAACCAGGTGGATAAAGAACATGTTTGACACAAAGGACCCCTGTTTCCTATCAGCAGTCAACATCCTTTTTTATAACCATGACAATATTATTTCTTAGTCAAGTATTTGTAACATTGTCTTCTCACCTGTTTTGAAAGAGCCCAGGCAAGCGATGTTAACAACAGCGGTGCTGGCCAGAAAGCGCTAATGGGATGTCTTGTAAGGCAATAACAAAATACCTAATTTTTTTTAAACGATGAGTATCTGTGCTCGTGTCATTATCCTATGTGATTCAGCTTTCACGGAATCACTGAGCATTGATTACAGCTTCATTAGGGTTTCCCTGAAATACTACTCCTGTGTGCTGCTATGAAACCCTTTTCAGTTGGAAACCAGCAGCAAAGCACACAATGTTCCCTTAAAAATAGCTCCATCTAAAACCTCTCCGGCTACAATTCAACTTCCCCATCCACTCGTAATTATTTGTATATATGACCTTGATTTGATAGCCTTAATATCTTTGTAAGCTGTAAACAGATTTGTTTTCCTGGCAATTGATGTTGAGTGCTTGTTTTTCAGACTGTGTACTGAACATTTACAGACAGGGGAACAAATAACCTGCAGGAAGAAATGACATGTTTTTTTCCTCAGCAGGGAACATCTTGCTCCGTCTCTCACAATGAGAGCACAGCTCACACTCTGCGGGTAATTACATTTGGAGAGGCTGGTGTCACACGTGTCCCCGTATGCCCCGAATTATTTTCAAAACCTAATTTACAATCATTGCTGTCCTGTTGCTCCAAATGATAGAGGGATCTTAACGTAGAAATGTCAGTTTCCCCGCGTGTACCTTATCAAGTGCTGTCACTCTCAGTTTAGATTTAATAGATTTTTTCACCCTGCAACAAGCTCTAAATTTGTTTTAGAAACGTTATTTGATCGTTCTTCTTCTTTGACAGAATAATCCTTATTGGTCCTTTTTTAAAACACCTTCAGGTGGGATTTTGAAAGGCTTCTACAGAATTACCTGAAAGGTCGGTGTGCCATCACACCTTTGCCAGTTGCAGGAGTCCACACTCTTTTTTCCTCGAAATGAATACAGATATATCGTTTTAAAATAGCAATTCTGTTCAAACTGACTGCAATTTGTATATTCATGTCTGCGTAGATCCAAAATATAGTGCAACAAGCAGTCTGTGTTTGCATTTACAAATGAAAAATTTGACTTTTTCCTGAAAGTTTGTAATGTATATTGATAAACCCATCCAACATGTATTATCATTGTCTTATCTTGTCCTGTGGCACACAATTTGAATTAGAAATCAGTTCAAGGTAACAGTTTTGGCCTTAAAAAGGAACCAGTTCATAGGAAAACTCAATGATGGTGTAAAATGAGGAGCCTGCAACTAATCAGATATCTATATTATATGAATAAAGCTTTATTCTCAGTGCATGCAATACTCCTTTATTTTTTCCATACAGTCTCTGTGCTGATCCTTCTATATGGCTCACACACTTACATTTGACTGTCCCCCTTCTTTCATACCGATGGGCAATTTAGAGTATCCATTTTGTCTTTCTTGACAGTGACAGGGAAACTACATTATATGAGAAACTTACAAGAGGAAACATAATGATCCAGGGAATTAGCCTTTATAAATGCCCAGTAATGTTCAAACGGTTTCTTCCTTTAGTTACATTCAGATGGACTGGTTACATCAGGGCACATGGCAAGTGGCAAAAATAATAGCACCAAGATATATTTCTGTCCTGTGAAAGACATGTTAAAACAAAAGAATCAAAATACATCACACTTTATAGTAATACATATAGTATTTGACTTTAAATGATACATGTTAACAGTCAAGCTATCACTCACTTAATGTTGGCACGCTCAAAATAAACTAAGGGCGACCAGATGTCTTTTCTGCTCTGCCAAGAAAATTCCTTTATTCATGTGCCATCCCTCCTGGTTCCTAAGAATCTGTCCAATTGTTCAAAGGCCTTTTAGTAGTAAAAAGGGAGTTTTAAAAAGAAACAAAACTAGCCAAGCAATATGTGCAGAAATGAAACTTTTCTACACAGGTTTGGAAATGAAGTGTTAGTTTGATGTTTTTCTAAATCCCTACACTTCGTCCCCACAGGAAATGCCACTGTGTTGTGGTGCACCTGCTGCACGAACGTCTTCAAATCTGTGACCAACCGATTCATCAAGAACCTGGCGTGCTCGGGGATCTGCGCCGGGCTGGCCTGCGTTCCCTTCGACGTGGCGCTGGGAGCGAGCCCTCGATGCTGCTGGTGGCTCCACACGCTGCTGCTCTGCAAGGCCATCAAGTTCCTCCACAAGCTCTTCTGCTCCGTCACGGTGCTCAGCTTCAGCGCCATCGCCCTCGACAGGTCAGCCCAGGAAAACACACTTGTTTCCACACATAAGTAGTACATATAAGTTGTGGCGGCTCAATTTCCAGTTCAGTTTGAGTCGCCGAGAGGCTAAGCTTGGCTATATTCTGCGACGCGTTTTCAAAGAGAAAGTCCGTACTGAAGTCAGATAGTTTGACGATATTTAATAAACAAAATCAAAACATAATAACTATAGGGACAAAAACGGTCAACAGATAAAATGAGCTCACCCTCTGTCCACGCACTCGACATGAAACAGGTGATCTATACACACAAACCAAACCCATGTGACAATTACCGGAAGTGCTCAACAAATAAATAAAAGTGACGTAAACAAATAATAATAATACAAATAATGGACTCAGGCTAAGTATCATTTGGCACCTACATAAGTTATAGATAGACAACTGTGGCTAGCAACTGAAATTAAATCCCACCTCTTACTAATAACCTGAGTAGGATAAAAGAGATGTTTTATGCTCACTTCAGCCCTGCATTCAGAACATCTGAGAGATGTGTTTGAAAAAAGCAGGTGCGTACCTCCCACTAACTTTTTCTGGAAGTGCCACTCGATAGAAGTGGATGATTCAAATACTCGGATGAGTTTATCAGCACATCGCTCGGCATTGTAATTCTCTTCCTGGTAGTACAAATTGACGCTACACAAGTAGAGACACATCCAACTGTTTTGTTGTACGAGATGGAAAATGTATTTATTATTTTCAGATCCATTCAATCATTGATAATACAGATCAGTATTCTCTTTCAGCCTTCTGTATTTTACAATCATAGCACACAACAATGTATCACAGATTGTGTGGACAATACGGAGGCATGTAAAGATTCACTGACCTTTAAACAAGCTATAACATAAATTGTGAACAAGAACTAAATGAGACAAGAACAAGGATGATGGGTCGTACATCAATGATTCTTGAAACCATTTACCAGGTGAGCATAGAAAAAAAAATCTACTTTAGACAAAATATTTTGTCTGAACAAGAAGGCTTTCGTTTCGCCAATGGATGGAGCATGTGAACGTCACGCTGAGCAGACATGTCCCCGGCCTCCCTGCAGTGATAAAGGCACAGCCAAAAGAGGCAATTTTCACTAGATAAACCGACATTTAAACCCTCTTAGTGCAAGCTACTTTTATTGGAGAAAAACTAGCAACACTGATGGCCTCTTGTCTGATTTCTGTCTGTCACCATTCCTTTCTTGTGGAGCAGTTAATTAATATAGTTGTATGAAAATTGAGCTAGTTTTTTTTTCCGTTCTCTAGACAAACAAACCAAACATAAAACATAATCTCCTTAGAAAGGGTAACAACCATATGAAATCTCTGCTTACTCATAACCCCATCATGTATTAAAGCCCTGCAGTATGTGCAAAACATTAATATTGGATGACTGCAGTGGCCTCATTGATTACAATTTAAAAACCATTCATTATGAAATGAAAAGCAGAATAACATACAAAGTGTGGTTTGATGCTTTATGGTGATTGCAGTCACATCGTGTGTTGTTGCAGCCGCGCCTCAGCCTTGGTTTCACTGCTCTAAAGATTACATCCATCCAGATTGCCTCCATAGCAACAAAATACAATCAGAACGCTATCAAACGAACGGATGAATAATTTATCTAAAGGAGGGCAAACGAGGCTGTGTGTGTACAGACGGGCTGAGACTGCACCAGCTATCGGTTCACGCACGCACGCACGCACGCACGCACGCACGCACGCACGCACGCACGCACGCACGCACGCACGCACGCACGCACGCACACACACACACACACACACACACACACACACACACACACACACACACACACACACACACACACACACACACACAGTACGTGGTGATTATGAAGAAATATTCCAGGGAAATGGGCAAGTCTTTCAAGCAATTAATGTTTTTTTCTTAATTGTTTTGGGGAATAAAACAGGATGACAGTTTGTTTTACATTATGGGTGTGCAGTTACATGATTTCAAATTCTTATGTATAAGTTAGTACATCCCCCGGATAACTGGAGAGAAAATCCTTTAATCTCATTCCAGTAAAATGATGTTAAATATGCATACTTTTCCTTTTTACCCCTATGTTATAAGCAGTTTACACGCTGTCATGCTGCAGTCATTTCTTGGTTATTGGATTATTAAGGAGTCCAATTTATTCAACTAAGACTATATTGATGAAGTTACCTTGGTTATTCTTTTTTTGATGATAAGTTGTTAGAAGCACATTTACATTAAAGGTTTTATAATGATTAAAGGGTTTGGTTCATTTGGGTTTTCTCTACAAATATCTTTTCATTTCCTGAGAGTTTCCTGTGAAGGTATTTTGAAGAAACATTTGTTAAACATTTCCCTTCTTTAAAGTTAAATAAAGAAATATGTTTCTCATAATTTTGGTTAAAATGTGTGATACATTTAATGGAAACCCGACTTGTGAGACAATGCACAATACAAAGACTTTCAAACCAACTTAAGCAGCTAAATTAATTAATTTCAAACCTGTGCTTTTCCTACTGTGAAACTGAAGCGTTCACTGAGAAAGGCCTTAATGCTGAAATAATTTGTCTTTCTGCGTCTAGATATTACTCTGTGCTGTACCCGTTGGAGAGGAAGATCTCCGATGCGAGATCCCGAGATCTGGTCATCTACATCTGGGTCCACGCCACGGTGGTCAGCCTCCCCGCGTTCGCCGTGACCAATGTGACGGATGTGTACGTCACCTCGTCCTGCTCCGACGACCACGCCCGCTCGCTGGGCCACATGGTGTACGTGTTGGTCTACAACGTCACCACGGTGATCATGCCTCTCGCGCTGGTCTTCTTCTTCATGCTGCTGATCCGCAGAGCGCTCAGCAGCAGCCAGAAGAAGAAGGTGATCATCGCGGCGCTGCGGACTCCCCAGAGCAGCATCTCCATCCCGTACGTGTCCCAGAGAGAAGCCGAGCTGCACGCCACGCTGCTGGCCGTGGTACTGGCCTTCTCCGCCTGCAGCGCCCCCTACGGAGCTCTGGTGGTGTATCGCACCATCTTGGCGGACACTAAAGAGCTCCCCGCCTCCTTGTACCTGACGGCGCTCTGGCTCCCCAAGGTGTCCCTGCTCACAAACCCTCTTCTGTTTCTGACTGTGAACCGCTCGGCGCGCCACAGCTGGCTGGACCTGCTGGCCCGGATCCACAGACGCTACAGCCGCCGTAACGTGGTCAGCACCGGGGCGCTGGACTCTTTGGGAGCGGAGGGGGTGATCGGGGAGCCGGTGGGGCTGGAGACCGCCGGCCGCTCCGGGAGCCAGCTCCTGGAGATGTTTAACATCGGCCAGCAGCAGATCTACAGGCCCTCTGAGGAGGAGGAGGACGTGGAGAACGAGGTCCCTCCTCAACTATCAGGGGGCTGCTCTGGGCCTAAAGACGACCTCAAGGGCAGGTCGAGACTGGGGAGCTTTAGAGGGGAGGTGATCACCACAAAGGACCCTCTGCAGGGGTCAGGGGGGGGTCTGATCATCACTAAGGACGGCCCTCCTTTAGTCACAGCGCCGCGGGCCTCTCCGGTCCACACGTGTGCTTACGCCTCTTCATCTCAGGTGGCCCCAGCGACCCCTACCGAGGCGGAGGACTCCCCACAGTTTGGGTTCGGACCCTTCGAGCTGCCCCCCCAGTGGTTACCAGAGACGAGGAACAGCAAGAAGAGGCTGCTGCCACCGCTGGGGAACACCCCCGAGGAGCTGATCCAGACCAAGCTGCCCCGGCCGCGGCCCGAGAGGCGGATCAGCCGGAACAACAAGGTGAGCACCATCGCCACCGTGGACCTGTGAACCGCCTCTGATCCGCAGCTCTGGACCCCACTACAGGGGGGCTTCGGCAGGATATTGATGTGACAAGCTGCTCGGTGAGACGCTTGGTTTCTCTTTGTCAATTCAAACCTTTTTTCAATTTTCTCAGACGCTTTGTAGAAGGTTTTTCAGCTCGACTACTGCAGTTTTCTTATTGGACGAGAATCAATTTGATATCAAATATTTACCACGCTGGGAGACATGTGTCCAACTTCCCTTGCGACTCGGACAGATCCAATTACTTGATTAAGGATTCTATAACGGCTGCATGATTATTGGGACAACAGATCTCTGTTTTTGAATCCGTTTTGATTAGAGCTGGCATCGGTAGTTGAACGGACACACTGTACAAATCCAATTATCCCGAGAGATGCACTGATTCAGAATAATATATTTCCATAGCACATTATGAAGCGAGGATATTTAAACTACTATCAAAACATTTTGTAAAATGGTTATGCTGTGATTGCACTCTGTAAATTAACACATCTCAGTGTCAGTCCTTTCTCTTAACCCTTTGTGGGAATGTTTTTTGTAACTATGTTTACTTCACTTTTTGGGATTAACTCGTCCCTCGCTGGCCTTTTTTTCTCACGTCGCTTTTGAGAAATATTTACATATCCTCTAATGTGTTAGATGTTGTTGTCATTTGTACTTCAAATGTAAGTGGATTTGATAAAGATAAAAAATGCAGATGTAATGTATGCAAATACCTGTTATAAAAATGTGAAATGTTCAGGGTTTATCTGTGTTTTTAGACTTCTGGAACACACAGTGCATTACATAAACAGAAAAAAATGGAAGAACGCTACCAGTATGTTTTAATACAAAAATACACAGAAAAGAAAATCCAGCTCCAAGTATCTTTTAGTCCACGAAAAATCAATTTTATGGATTTCTCCCTGGTTTTCATGAAAATCAATTCCTCAATGGAATGACTGTGAAAAAAATTAAGTGAAAAAAGAGCCGTAGTACAAGCGCAGCTTTTTACATCATAAGAAGCTGCGAAATGGTTTTCAATTTTCAATTTCTCCGACTCTCACCCCGTTGGCTGTGTCTCCCGTGTGATGCATAATTCAATAGTAGCAGCCTCAACCTGAAGCTTTGGCCGAGGCAAACAGAGCCGGGCTGCACTTCAAATATTTGTCAAGCTGTAACTCCCTTCTGGGCTACCCACAATCCCCTGCTGTGTCCACAAAGACCTGGATCCATATGCTGCATCCTACCTGTGCTGTTATCAGGTGGAATTGTGCACTCACACTTGACTGGAAACAGTATACATTGCTACTACTTAAAAGCAGGATGTATAGGAGTAGTGATTATTCTTCTACATCTGCTGCTCTGTTGTTGACTTTTTAGAGACTGTTATGGCAGAAAACAGTAGCTGCCATGGTGGAGATACAGTTTTGAGTCTTAAATGCTGCACGTAATTCAATGCGTCACAGTGCAACAGGAAAACCATTGATTTATTTGGTGTGTTTAAGAATACTCTGGCCTTCACTCATTTTTTCCACATGATTTAATTCAAGTCTTATTCAAACAACCTTTTACTGAGACCATTATGAGCTTGATGACAGAGGTTCAGAGCAGTGATAGTATACAGAAAGGGTTTAATATGAGGTGAGTCTTGGAACCTGATTTGCACAAAAGGCTTGACATTTCAAATGAATGTAAAACCCATTTTCCCCATCTGGTTCTTATGACAGATTGCATCCTACATAGACACAATGTACCATATAATATTACAGTTGAACTTATAGTCACACAAGAAGAAGAATTGATGTACTTATCCTAAAAAAACGTGCAGAGAAAGTAAATATTTCATTTGATCGTTTTACAGACAGATTCAACGTGGTCTTTCCAGTCAGGAAGGCTGGTGTCAGATGATGAAACAAACAATTTATTCCATATTCTTTACTTTTATTCTCATTATTACAAGCTCTAATCGTGATCTTCCTCATCATCGGGTTTCAGGGTGCGATAAAATCAACCTTGAATCTGATCTTTTATCCCCAACTTGTACGAGAAGTCATCGAAGTGCGAGAAGAAATGTAAATGTATACATCTACAGTTCAATGACAACTGGGAAAACTCTATCTGAGCTGATGAAGCCCAGGCAGCATGACTGAAAGCTCCAGGCAGGACAGCCACTAATCTGTCCTTGTGGTTTCTCAAAGTAAGTATTTTTCTTGTATATTTTCATGCAAATGTATTACTTTAAAGTTGAAGAAAGAAATTAGTACATTTCTATGCCCTTATATTCTCCACATTTACAGCCATGTATCATTAGTAAAACACTTGCTTACTGTACAAACTGTGTGAAACTAACCATCTTTTTTGTTTTTCTCCAGTGACTTCATAAAAGGCAATGTTTTTCATCGTGTTTTCACATGTTTTTTTGACTGAAGGGGTATTGAACGTCTGGAGTCTAGACTCATTAATAAGAGATCAGAGGCTTACTGACTAAGCAAAATCTGTAATGTATTCTCTCAGCAGAACAACCCCGAGGTTTGGGTATCCAGAACCATGTTAACAAACAACACTCAGGTTCATTTCAGGTCCTCAGAGTTGCTCGAAAACATGTTTTATTAACTATGAACGCTCTCTTGTTAGCATACATGGCAGAGGAAATCACGGTTTTTCATTTTAAATTAAAACAAGTTCTAGCAGCTGCAATCCAGAATGTAGAAGTAGAGTTTAATCTTCTTTGCAGTCTGTTTTAAGAAGGAGCACGAGGAGCTTTTTGTGTAGCAGAAGCAGGAGAACAAAGTCTCTGTTTGTGGTCGGCTTTGGTTTATTGTAATCTAAGCAGGAATTGTCGTCATTGTTGATTTCTCCCCTCACAGATCTCATGGAAAGTCTGCTGTGGAAAATAGTCTTGTGTAACTGGTGCAGTCTTATGGAAAACAAGATGCAAGAGGTGGATATACAAAGGCACATTTTATTACTAATTAAATACCAATATGACGCTCAAAAGCAATATAAAGGGCCTGTATAATAGGATTGGTTTTTTGAAAATACATTTCATGAAAACGTTCTTTTCACTGAGCTTCTAAATTAAAGAGTTATGCATACATATTCATTTTTCTAATGCTTTCCGACTAACTTGTGGAAATGCAGCACAGTGGCTTTGTTCCTAATTGGGTTTTTTATGTTAACACATTATGCAAATCCATCCAGTCTGCATTAACTGAAAGGACTTCACTCTGTATGTTGAATTAAAACTGATGCTGTTTATGCTCTCTGCCACTTTTAGGGTCCAGTTTAATGTGGATTGAAATTCAAATCAACATAATGAAGTCAGTTGTTCTTACTCAGAAACGTTTAATCTGTAAAGACACCAAACTAAATGCTGTTTCTTTAAAATAACAGGAAGGGAAGCAAATCCTCACAATTTTGAAGCTGGCACTATTAGATGTTTTTGCAGGAGAAATGACTGAAAGATAAATACAAATCCAATTATTTTTCTTTCAATCGACTAAGTGTTTAAGTTTGCTTTTTGTTTCATTCTTTACTATTTGTTATCCAACACATTCTAACATTACACATATCCACAGTATTTTACTGTATATCTGTATAGTTAAATGTTAATTGACAATAAATATTGTTGTTTTTGAATCTTTATTTGATTGGCAGTCAGTTGTTGATTACATGCAGACGTTGATAAAGCTACAGGCTACTTCAATATATATCACACTAATTCATAAAGCAACTTAGACATTTTGATGTTCCGGACCTTTGCATGGGGAGATTTTCTCTAACTGGACCTCGTAGAATTTTAGTTGAATACCCCTGCTATAGCCTATTGAATGTCTTAAGCTATTATTGCTTGTTTTTTAGGACTAAAAGTTAAAATACACAATACATGAGGAATTGTTATGGACATTTCCACATGTTCTGAAATGTCTAAATGATTAGGCAATGTATGGAGAAATGGAGAACAGTGAACAGCAAAGTGACCTAAAAATCTAAAGTTTTTAACTTACAAAATATATCATTCATTGCACTAAAAATGCAATGAATTATATAAACTCACAATTCCCATTAAGTCAATATTACAGAAGAAATGAAAGAGGCTGAGTGCAAGACAACAGTCACTGATTGTTAATGTTAATAGGCTAAAGGGCAGGACATCTCTAAGATGTTGACAAATCACAACAACAGAGCTGGCCAGCTAACCAATCAGAGCAGACTGGGCTCTGGTTTCAGACAGAGGGTGAAAATAGGTACTGCATCACAGGCAGTATGAGAAAAATAAAGACCTTTTTGAACATTAAAGCATGGAGACATGTCATAGTAGAGACACTACATACTAATATGCTCCTGAAAATGAGCATTAGAGGGCCCCTTTAACAACATCATCAAAAACGAGAACTAAAAAGTCCACTTACTAGATAATAGATCCAGCAGTGAAGAGATTGTAACTGCTTGATATGTTGTTTTACTTGTAACAACAATAGGCGTAATAACTGGAAGCAAAGACTGAATTTATTTGGCGTGGTTGCTAGGCAACAGGTAGACCCAGATGCTCCAGTGCAGCTTCAGTGTTTCTCCGCGGGCTTCAGACAGGGTGTGAGGAGAAAGACGTGAGACAGGAGGACTATGTGGCATGACTCAGAGGAAGAGAAGTCCTCTGGGTGTAGTTCAAGAGCTCCCCAGAGAAAAGGAAAATTACACAAACGAAATTTCATTCCTCTCAGGTTTTTAATTTCCTCTGTTCTCTTGTGACTCAGTTCAGCTTCTGAGAAACAATCTCCCCCTGATTGTTATGTGAACTTTCAGAGGTAGTTTCAGTTAATATTTTCTCTAGCACTTACTTGAATGTGTTTATTCTTCACAGCATTTCCCCCCCTGGTATGCTACCCCTAACAAATCAATAAATGTTTAAAGGCCAAAAAATATATATCTAATCGGGAATATCATGACCCTTAAGTGTAGTTTGATTTTCCTTCTTTTCTAACCCTCATTCATTTAGAAGGAGCAGTCCAAAAATAAGTCATCTACAAATAATAAATACAATATATTAGATAAAACCCACTTTGAGCTTTAAATATCTCCTCTTGCTCCACCATATCACCTTTTTTTAATGTACAGTTAATTACTTGTTGTGCTTTGTGAAACACTATAATAAGTTGGACCTCTTTAAATAGCATTGTCAAACCCCTTTGTCCAAAAACAGACACCTTTATCTTTGTATATGAAGCTGAAGGTGTAAGAAATCTGTCTGAATAGATTTTGTTGTGGCCCTGATAAATAAGCACAGTCATGACAGGTGGAAAGAAGCGTTTTGAGAGCCTGAGGGCAGAGAGACACAGCTTTTCTTCTGAACTCGAGACAGATCTTCTGACAGCTCGGAGGAGAAAGCGTGGTGAGTCACAGTTGACCTGCAGACTCAGACTATAGATCTGAGAGAGAGTGAGTCAAACAATTACCTGACACTCATCAGCACCAGTACGTCACTTCGCTTATTATAAAGCAGAAAAGGATCTATTTGATGAATAAATGTTCATATGACGGAAGAAAGTAAACAAATGTACGCAAGGAATTCACATCAGAAGGGAAGCTGGCGTCAACAATAACATTTTGTAGTGCAGACAGCGTGTAAACTGCTTATAAAATAGGGGTAAAAAGGAAAAGTATGCATATTTAACATCATTTTACTGGAATGAGATTAAAGGATTTTCTCTCCAGTTATCCGGGGGATACACACGAATTTGAAATCATGTAACTGCACAC